CGGAAGCTCATCCTATTAGAACTATAGTTCCAGAATCTCATGCACTTAATATTTCAAAGTCTAAGAAAAAATTATATAAACATGGAAAACGTGCTCATAAGCATCAAGGCAATCATAGTCATGACCATTTCTACCCATATAGAAAGAATAAATGTTCTACTATTAAATATAGTAGAAATAAAAAATCAGAGATGCGTTCTTGCGATAAGTATGGGATGATTGGACATTTAGCACATGTGTGCCATACTTCAAAATATTTTATTAAAATATTCTAAGAAGATAAGAAACTACAAGTTGAGGCTCGTGAAGTTCATATCATTGATGCGTCCATAGATTCAATTGGTGTTGATGATTTAAAAGCTTATATGAATGACAAAACCTCTAATCATGAATCAAATGATCTGCTCATTGATTTACTAACAACACATACTATCTGATGAGATAGACAATTTTTTTATTGAAAAATCTTTAACTTTGCAAACTAAAAATATGATGACCATGGCTAGAGCAAATGCATTTCATTTCTAAAAAGGCACATCGATGGTAAAATTACCTGCAGGTTCCATCATAAAATATAAACATACGATTTTTGTATCCTTAGCACCTCGGAGTTTGATCAGCTACCGAGCTGTACATATCAATAGTTATCAAGTCTCAACCACCATTTTAAATAGAAAAGAGGTTTTAGTTCTTGTGAAGAATTATAGAGTTGTTAAAAAAGCTTTTGCTACAGAAAATGGTTTATATCCAATTTTGATTTGGCCTCCTATTATATTTAATTTTGCATCATCTATCACAAAGAGTCGTGCTTTTCTCTAGGATGGACGATTGAGACATCTAGAATCCACATCATTTAGAAAGATCATTCTATGTATAAGTGGGCACAATTTAAAGTATGTAGATGTAGAGTTTATAGAATTATGTTGTGCATGCATGCAAGGTAAGATAATTAGTCTGCCTTCAATTTAGAAACTCTTACAAGAATTACCACTAATGCTTGAAAGGTTGTATTGTGATATTTGTGGTCCTATTAATCCAATATCGAGACCATTTTATTACTTTTTGGTCCTTATTGATGCATCAGGTAAACAATCATATGTTTCATTCTTATTAACCTGAAACATAGTATTTACCAATCTTATATCTATGCTTATTCATTTTTGGGCATATTTTCTTGATTATCATATAAAATCATTATATATAGATAATGCAAAAGAATTTGTATTAAAGTCTTTTGAAGACTATTGTATTGTAATAGGAATTGAGTTGACATATTGTGTTCTATATGAACATACTCAAAATGGACTTACAAGGTCATTTATAAAGTGTATACAATTCATTACCTGCCCATTCCTCCTTCATGTAAATTTACCTGCATATATGTGGCATCATGCAGTTTTACATGCTGTAGCATTAATTTGCCTCTCCCTTCTTCTCTTCAAATTGTTTCACCACATGAGCTCATTTCAGGTCGTATTCCAAATGTATCTCACTTACAAGTATTTAGTTTCTATGCTTGGATTCGAGTACAAGAACTTCAACATTGTACTATTAGACCTCATCGACAAGAAGGCATATATGTTAGTTTTGATTCACCAAACATTATTTGTATTGTTGATCCATCAAGTGGCATATTATTATGTGCATGTTTGCAAAATAACTATCTTGAAGAGAATGTATTTCCATCTCTTCAAGGAAGAGTATCCAATCAACAAAGAAATGAAGTACTTGTATTTGAAGCATTGAAAATGTTTACAATGAATCTCGATCCTATGACATCTTTGATTGAAACTGAAGTTGTTAAGATTTTGCATCTAAAACAGATTACATATGAAATACGTAATGGCTTCAATGATGCACTTAGAATTACAAGAGGTCCTATTAATGAGGCTCAGAATCCACCTACTCAAATTGCAATTCCATTGACTATAATACCTCAAGTTATAACAACAACAACAACAACAACTAAAAGAAGTTGTGGATGAGATAAGCAATCACGTAAGAAGAAAGCTATAATACTGAATAATTCTAGTATTATTTTTCAATATACTGCAACTCATCTTGCAGGACCATCAATTCATGATGATATATCCATGCATAATGTACCTTCAATTCCTATGAAAAATAATTTTGAAATTGGAAAGAATAAGGATAAGTTGAATAAAAAATTATCTATTTTGTATTGTGCTCTAGACGATATTTAGAATAGACCATCTATTACGATAGATGAATCATTTACATGTATTATTATAAAAGCCTTTTTTTGTGAGGAAGACGAACTTAAACCTCAAACCATCGAAGAAGCAATGCATTGCTCTGAATGGTTAAAATGAAAAAAAAAAAAAAAAAAAAAAAAAAACTACTATTGAGGAGGAGTATGTCTCTTTGTATAAGAGGAAAGTCTTTGGTCCAATTGTAGACACTCTTACATCTTGCCTTATGAGATATAAGATAGTATTAATATGCAAGCAAGATGCTCAAGATCAAATAACCTTCTATAAAGCTCGTCTTATTGTCTAAGAATTTACTCAATGATTTGGCATTGATTATGAATCGACATATTTTTCAATCATTGATTCAATTATATTTCAATATATTATTGGAATGACAGTTCATGCCATCCTTGAAATGCATCTAATGGATGTGATAATTGCATATCTATATGGTTCTCTTAATGCAAATATTTATATGAAAGTTCCACCTAGCTTGGAAACAGGAACTCCAAATGGACTTGCTCTAGGACGATATCATGGTATTAAATTATGTAAGGCCTTATATGGTTTAAAACAATCTAGACACATGTGGTAACAACATCTTTGAGATTATTTAATTATACATAGGTTTGTAAGTAATCTACTAATCTCTTGTTTATTTATCAAATGAGATAAAACTAGTTTTATGATCATCGTTGTATATGTTGATGATCTTAATCTTGTGAGTACTAAATTCGCATGCATCGCAACTACTTACCTACTTATATATGAATTTGAGATGAAAATGCTAGGAAAAAAAACTTTCTACATTGTACTTCAAATTATGCATCTCACAAGTGGTAGCATTTTTTTCTACCAACTAACATATATTAGATGAATCTTACAAAGATTCAATATAATTGATGCTTATCCATTGTCAACACTAATGGTTGGATGTGGTTGTCATGGTAATGATCCATACTGTCCATGTGAGGAGGAGGAGGAAATATTGGGAGATCAATATCCATACCTTGCAACAATTGGAACACTTTTATATTTGGCTACATCTACAAAAGCATATATTGCATTTGCAATTAGTGTTCTTGCAAGTCATAGTGCACGTCTAATATTACAATATTGGAATGGCATCAAACATTTATTATGTTATTTAAAATGTACTAAAGACTTGAGATTATACTACATACAATTTACAGATCCAAAATTGGTTGGATATTGTAACAACTAAATTTCAAATAGGATATGTATTTTTAAGACATAGAGCTGTAACATCATGGAAATCAATGAAACAAACTATAATTACAACTTCATCCAACCATGCAAAAATTATTGCCTTACATTAAGCATCTCAAGAATTTATTTGGTTGTGATCAATTGATAAATTCATTCAAACAACTTGTGGATTTTCATATGATGATTCTCCAACTATCTTGCATGAAGACAATAGTGTTTGTATTGTACAAATGCAAGTTGGTTTCATTAAAGGTGACATGACAAAGCATATTGATTCAAAGTATTTTAGTTATATCTATAACTTGATTATTAATTAAGCACTTATAATTAAGAAAATTACCTTGTTGATCTATTCACCAAAGCTCTTCCATTGCACAACCATCGTCAACTTACTTATGGCATTGGTATGCAACGACTTGCTTTTCTTGAATAAAAAAGTTAATGAATTCTTTAAATAATTAAAAAAAATGATGTTGTATTCATTTTCCTTCATCTATGATTTTGTCCTTGAATACAATAAGGTTTACTAAATAAGGTTTTAATGAGGCAACCATTGTTCATCTTACGAGATTATAAAAAAGTATAGATCATAATTCTATATAAATTTTATATTATGTAAATATTATGATGAGTGAAGAGGAGTGTTGAGAACATTAAATATAGGTGGCGCTCTCCATGATATTTACTATAGTCTATAGTAAATACTATAGCTACAGTATTTGGAATATAGTGGAGATGAATTGTTTATCCTCTCTCCTTCTCCTTTGGTATATGAGACACAACCAGATCAATAGACTTTTGTGTGAAGCTCTCTCTCTCTCTCTCCCCTTAGAAACTCTCTTGTGTGTGTGTATTACTTACTACTACTCTTATGTCTTTCTAAACATTCTCAAGAGTAACATGCTCATAAAATTTGTCTCACAATATCTTGTACACTGAATATTGATGATTTGTTAAGAGCTGGGCGTGGGTGGGACCATGTTTGATAAGACTATCCTTACTACCAGCAAGTCAATTAGTTCTTTGTTAGTTTTTTATGGTTCAGAAGTAATAAATTAAGTACCTGTCAGCCTCTTCACACTTTATTGTGAACAGGTGCAAACAATTTGTATACCACACAAATACATTCAGCAGCAGACTTCAACTTCCTATGCAATTAAAAGCTTGTTTCTCAATGTTCCATAAAAAAAATGCAGATATTACTGCCATGTGAACCTTTGATGGACGTGGGTATCAGCGTCTCAACCTTCTTGAAAGCCTACTTAATTATTTATGCCTGTCCAAGAGATTCAAACGTTAATAATGATACACATCGCACCACCAGCCATCCATGTAGCTTCACAAAATATTCGAATCAAACCAGAGTTTGCAACATGTTGAGCATTGCAGAAAAGGATGAGAGATCCTTTCAGAGCTAGCAAACTCATGTATTGTGAACTGAGACATTACTGCATGCAAATTGAGACATTGCAGAAAATTTTAGTCTGGGAAAGCACACGTCCCGTATCATGGGTTCAAACAACCGCAGCCCCGATGTAGTGATAGATAAGACAAGCATTTATAATGACTTGGCATCTTATTCTACAAACACTGGTTTTTTTGTCAATCATAAAGACGATGTATCTGCACAACAGATCAACTTAAGAACTGTACTTAGCGAGAGAATGAAATTGAGAGTTGAATGTTGTACTGCCACAGAAGAATGCTGATCATGGAGGGAGTTAATCGAACTCACTTGGACGTTCACAGATCGAGGTCCGTGAATAGTGCTTGGATGAGGAGATCCTATACGCCGTCCTATTTCGTAATGGTTCTCAATCAGATACAGTGGAATTAAAAAAATAAATAAATAAATAAATAAAAAATCTTTGCAAAAACGATTTTGAAGAACGGTGACAATGATACACTTGATATGGGGCTTGTCCTTCTGTAGGTAGCTATGATGCTGATGTCCCGTTCGGTTATGTGAAGCAAGTGATTTCATTATCCACTCGATTCATAAGTTGTATTGCAATCCTGCGTTCCGCATTAGGCAACAGAACTCCTTGAAGTTCAAGAATCCGTCTTTGTCCACGTCAAAAGTCTCCATTATCGAATGCACAAGCTGCATCAGAGAATCCATTCATGCGCACTATTTCAAGCTCTTCTGCTCAAATTTCAGAAGAGGAAACAAGAGTATAGTTGCAGCGAGGTTCAAAGGGGCAAATCAAAGGCGAAAACACACAATTCACTAGTTGAATGAGTAAATCGGCCACCGAGAGGAGCATTGTCTTTGGATCATGCAAATGTAGACGTAGTCATGGGCACAATCAGGAGAATTTTACCTTCTCAAGTTGGGAATTCGAGAGGTCTTCACCACTTGCAACTCTCATAGCATCTGCAACCTCTGATTGAGAAATCATCCCATCATGGTCTGAATCGTAATAGTTGTACAAAACTGCATGGAATCACCAGATCAAGTCGACTATAAGTAAAGCCATGGACACATGCTCCAGTGGGCAGAGATTACAAGCTATCGAGTATAGCAGACTTTGTCAAATCCATAAAGGTAGAAAGGGCTAACCTCGAAGTTTAGAACTAGGTGTATTAGAAGCCCTAAATGACTCGATCCCCTCACAAAGCTCCTTACAACTAACGCTGCCATCCCCATCCTTGTCGATGTAATTGAACAACCCTTTCACATAAGCTGCTGAAACACATTATTGAATAATTAGCTTAAAGTGTTACGGCACAAATCAGTTCATATTGTCGTACCCATCCAGACATTTTCATCTGATGAGGCAAACTGAAACTCTGGATCTGACTAGGAAGTAGAATAGACCTACGATTTCCAAGCAGGTCGTTGAATTTTCTTGGCGTTAAATTCGGCTGATCTTTCCCTGTGACCTTTTCAAACCTCAGTTTGACTCGATTCTCCTCTTCCCGAGACACTGGTGCCAAAAAAAAGGTAATGAAGAGCAAGCATCGAGTGAACAATAAATACGTCCTTCTCTATTCTGTGAAAACTCAATAAATAATGGTTCATGAATCAGATAGCCAATACCAAAAAGCTTCACTATCATAGGATACATGGTCAAAAAAGAAGCACTAAATGACGTATCTGTGGTACTCACACGCTCGAGTGGAGTGCGAGTTGCCCATAGTCTCCCTCACGTTATTCCAAGCACTCTATGTAATCCTCTCTGCATCTCTTACTGTTGAGAAACTCGTCCAGTGACAACTCTCCTCCTACCCTGGTGGCCGTGTTACTTTCAATTTGTGACTTGAACGTCCTTCCTTTCATGGGGATCACAACCCCATATACATCAACCCTGCATCAAAAATTTAGCACTCTCACCATGTCAGTGAGACAAAGGCAAGGAAGTGCACAGAGTCACTTTGTTCTGGCTATGGACAGCCATAACCAGAGCAGAGTTAGTTGAGAGTGTTGAGCTCGTTTCGTGTTCTTGGCCATCTTTTTAAACTTCGCACGATCTTCTTTTCAACTTCATCGCTGCCACAGTTACGTGGGCAACTGATAATTCTTTAATGACTGTCGGAAAACCTGATATCGTGAGACCTAGCCAGATTCTTAAATGCGTGGGAAATCGAGACGAATTACACCAATGATTGGAAGCATTTTTAGGCTACCACGTTGATGACCACATTCACTGTAACTTCACTCCGCTTGCAGGTCTGATCCTAAATAGCATTAATGATTTCATTTTGATAGGATTTGAGTTAAAACATGACCCTAAATTTCAAGAGTTTCCACCCACATCGTCACTGCTCAAGATTGTAGACACCAGAATTCAGTTGTCCCGCGATATATTTGAAAATTCAAGCAATGCACGAAAACATATACCTGCATGAGCTGAAAAATCAGTTCCGCTGCATCGAATTCTGTTCATGCTGATCCGAAGGACATAGGAACATTAAGAACACCTCTCTTGTGCTTGACAATCTCAAATGCACTTGGAAACCGTTCATCTATGCATCGCGATGCTCCACAGAGCAGTGGCAAGGAAGCTGACAAAAAGGTTCACGTTCACAGAAGCGCTACGTACAGAAGCAGGTGGGAAATTCTTTCTTGATTTAGGGCATTGGGCTTAAGCCAAGCAGATGAAACAGGGCACGCTGGCAAGCGGAGAGAGTGGAAGGGATGCGAAGGGAGACCTTGTTCACCAGACTTGTCGACAGAATGTAGTCACTAACGACGTGCTTCACGCGAAACTTTTCATGAACTGACCACCTCTCGTTGTGTGGCCAGGAGTTTGCCCATACGAATCACGTAGCCAACAGCGTAGCCCACAAATTTACAGGACTAACAACGATCATTCCCAAACGGTTGTTCCACTTCACCGACTGTTGTTGATATCCAAATACGATAAAAATACTTGCGCTTGCAGCACTCAAATCGACGACTTCGAACTGAAACCATTTCCCATTGTCTGTGGTTAGGATGGTTACAAGGTAACTAAACGTGAAGGCGCCAGGATTGTTGGGGCAGTAGCCAGGGTTTCCAGAAACCGCAAAACATTTAACTTTCCCACATGAGGCAACAGTCCACATCATCTTAACAGTCCGAAACAGCCGAACTTGCTGTACTCAACTGCACATCATGCTCCTTCGCTTCCTTAGGTAACACTTACCGTTTTCGTGATCTTACCGATGGAGACCTGTGCTATACGGCTGAACGGGAACATCAAATTGAAGACGCTGAACGGAATATTGTGACTCGATCTATTGATTAAATAGAAAACGACCATCAGCCCCACCGCATGACACAGACTTACTATTACTCCAGCAACTGTACCCCTCACAATCGACACAATTGTCCTTTACTGGAACATTAAAATGTCACATTATCAAGTACTAGTGATATCAGTGCTCATTTGCTGTGTAAAACGCATATGTTGAGAATGACGATCCCAGAGCGATAGATCCACCTCTTATTCAGGGCTCTGATGTTGTTATCACCTCAACACACTTCACTAGGACTACCACAACTTCTACCCTTTTAGTTTATCGAATCAAAAGACACATCATGCATACGTACTTTCAGCATTTAATGATGAATCTGTACCAATTGAGTGAAGAACAGGTAGCCAAGAGGAGCCTTGTGTAGGACTTCGAAAAAACGGGAGCTATCTTTCAATTTGTTGACAGTTCAAATATTTTAACAGACGAGGTAAAACAATTCACACCAATCGCAGAACAACAGTTTCATGAATTAAAGGACAAATGATACAGAGTACGGGAATCTACAGCATAAACTACGAGACATCCTCCATAGCCAGGATGGCATAACTATGTTGCCTACAATTTTTTTCCCTTCTACAACGTCGTATGAGTACAAAAGGACTGCAAAATGGCCCCCTATCAGAATGGCCCCCTATCAGAATGCTCTACTGGTTCATTCCAACGTTGAGGTTAGACAGCGGCAGCAGCTGGTGTGCCATATGTTATACCAGTTTTGGCGTTCGCAGCCCTGGATTGGTCATATCCATCATCGCTAGTTCTGAAGAAGCCTGCTTGTAATAACAGGAGGTAGAGAACCTCGAAGAAAGCAAGGATGATTGTGAAGGCTTCCAAAGTTTTCTGCGCCAGACACAAATTTTTGGATGAGACACTGCACGATTTTATGAATGAGAGTCCCTGCGTACCAAACACAGACTACATCACTGTCACAGACAATTGAAACCAACTTTGGCCGTGAGGTTTAGGACTTACCAGTCTCTTTTGGCGGTTGCTACCTCCGGTGTGAATCTCCTTGCAAGCAACGCCCATGGCAAGAAGGGAGAGGAACCAAGCAATAAGGGAGGTGGACGCAGCTGAGGACAAACTATCACTGCGAAAGACCCGCAAGTGATTAACTCCAGCAAAAACTGAGGCTAGACCCACCATGCTAGCAATGAGCGCCAGGGGCAAAAAGGTTGGGGTCACCACATTACCTGCAAAAAATTCTTAGCTCCATCAGGTTACATTGATCATCAAACGGCTCTTCAAAACCAAGCAAGGAAGCGTACACACACAATAGGTAGCACTGCACCAAATCCAAGATATAGTCCAAAGGGCAACCCACAAAACGATTGTGATTCGATTGTCGAAACAAAACAGCATGAGAAAAACCCTCATGGTCGACTAGCATGCAGCAGTGTAGGATTTCTACAGCATTACTGCAACTCTAACTTACCAATGGGGCCTGCACCGATGCCAATGGTGGCACCCAAGTTTCGGTTGAGAGCCCAACCCGCCAAGCACGCAGAAATCAGGTGCAAGAAAAAGTTGATGAGCAGTACCAGCGCGGGCAACGTCCGGCCCATTCCAAACGCCATGCTCTCCAAACCACAGCTCCGAACAAAGAGAGGAAAATCCCACAAGCTGATGACTGCAGGAGCTCTCTCAACTGTCAGTTGATCAGAGAATCCAAACAAAATCAAAATCTAAAAACCAGTTAACAGATTAACTAGAGGGAAGGAAATAGGCTGAGACAATAGGCGCAAACTGAGTAGTAAAGGATGGGTCAGACTGGGTTATTATGAGGAGCAGACAACGGCGGCCGCTTTGCAAACAGCCCAAGCTCCTCCTCCTCCTCCTCCTCAACGGATCTAACGGATGGGTGCATGTTTCAGGCAGTTCTTTTTCATTTGGTGAACAGCTCTTTTTTGTGCACATTGTGCTTTGGGTACTCTGTACAGCTTTGTCAGGCCTTGGGGCCAATTTGCATGCATAACTTACCCCCTTTCCCCTTCAAGTTACATCAGGTCCGTAGCAACTTTGTGTCCCCTCTGATCTCAATAAGGTAGCAGACCCATTCTCAACCATCCCCCATTTCCAACCTATAGGGTGGTGTATTTCCGATCAATTTGACATGATAATACTAATCAATTCTAACACCTTATGGTTTCACATTACTTAGTTCACATTTTGTCTCAACTCCACCTTATTCGATAAGAAATTGGCTCTTTCTTGTGCATTGATGCCTAAGGGTGAGTGCCTGGTAACAAGGTCCCTCTTCAAAACATTTCCCTCAATTTCCTTGTAGAATCAAACTTCCATTCCTACACTTTTGGAGAAATACCCATTTCTTCAACAAAGTTGAGAGGAATTTGTTGGCGTTAGAAGGCCACCATGTGATGTAAGTTTGGCTGCATCTAAAACATTAGATTTTCTTATACAACATGTTTTAGTAGAAATTTTTAAATTTAAATTTTGAAATCACTTAAATTCCAAGAGTAATTCTTTATTGGAGTTTTGCATTATAATCTTCTTTCTTAATTTCTTAAAAAAATCTTCACCAATTGTATTTGTTTTACAAAAATTAGAGATGTTATTTTTTATAATAATTGAAATGTATTCTTATTAAAAATAACTACATCTTCAATTTCTTTCAATTTTTTTTAAATTATCTAAAAGGTTCTTGCATTGATTTGTATTTAAATAATTATTTTCTATATTTTTAATATTATTATGTTTTGATTCTAAAGTCTTTGTTATTATAAAAAGTTCAATGAATTTAAAAAAAATTATGTCTATTTTTTATTTAAATATCACATGGCCTCTCACTACTTCAATAATTTATAACAAAATTTAAAATGCTACTAATAAATAATTATTTTTCTTTTAGACTATATTTTTTAAAATTTATGTATAATGCCAAAGCTGCATAATAGATTTTAAAATTTATGATTCAAACCTCAACCATCAATTTCTAACCATTTTATTGCATTGCATCTGTGTTATGATATAAGAGTATGCTTTTTGCTTTTACAAAATTAAACAAAGATCACAACAAAAATATTGCCAAAACATTTTTTTACTAATATTTGAATAGAAATATAAATTCTAATATGAAAGCTATAAGCAATGCATATTTTCTTAATGTACTATTAATCACCTTTTGATTTTTTAAATCCTAATTTTACACAATTTCTTCTTAGAAAGCATATAATATTATTCTTTGGTGCTTTCACCACTATCTCACCTATGTTAATACACTAGCTTCTTAATTCTAGAGCTCTTGATTTATCATGGCTTATTCTAAGTATTTATACCTCATTGGCTACAAGTTCATATATTAATGTTTTACCATACTTAAGACACCTTATCATACATGGCCAAATTTATATATATATATATATATATATATATATATATTATTTGCATATTTTCTAAATTTATTAAATATTCTTCTCAAAAAGTAGCATCTATATATATTGCTATTGTAACATAAACTATAGGAATAAATTTACAAATTTGTTGAGGAGTTTTTTTATTTGTTGTATAAATTACAAACTTAAACTGTAGAAATGAATTTGCAAGTTTGTAATCTATACTACAAATCAAAAAAATAATCAAGGCATCTTAAGATTGCAAAAATAATAATCTCATCCACATCTATATTTTAAAGTTAAAATTTGTATAATATCAAATTTTTGTGATTATAAAGGATAATTACAAAAGATGATTTGAATAATTATAGTATTTACATTAAATTCAAAATTATTTGTAAGTTTTAAAAAAGTGCAACATGGACTTTATGAGGGAGATGTGCTTTACTTAGTTCTTTAATACAAATATATTTTTTAAAACCCTTAATATGTATTATGGTAATCAAATGCTAAGGTCCCAACATCAAAAGCAATTTTCTATACAATAGATAAATAACACATTATTGGTGGTTTGTTATACCTAATGGTGATGGATGCAAAATTAACATGTGAATGAACGGTTGGGAGATATGTCCATCAAAAAGACTATACTTCATGTGACATATGACAAATGTTTAATCTATCAAGATATATAGATGCCTTTCAATGCCTATTTTATATATTTTTTTAATTGTAAGATATAAAAATGACTAAATAAGTATATTGATATTGTTGTTGAATAGAATCTTAGCCACCAAAATAAATAATAAATGGTACATATGACATAGACATCTTTTTGTCTAAATAAATGGTAGGTAACAAAAGATAATATATTTCTTATATAACTTCACAGGAACTTTGTTAGTATAGGTTTTATCTATAATTATCCTTGAAAATATATTATGGCCTAAAAAAAATCAAAACTTTTTTTGTATTCTAAAAATTACTATAGCTGCATCTTGTAACTTAAATATCTATTCTACAAGGTTGCATGGCCACACTTCAAGTCAAATATGTGAAGAATTGAGTATACAACTATGATTTTGTTTTTGATTTCTTTGTTTTTGATTGCTATGTTTTGTGCACCTAATATCGTTTCGTTTTCTACCAATAATGTTTTACAAAGGATCTTGTTAAGTTGTAAGCTTTTGCGTTTGTACTTATTTTGAAAAGTGAACCACTAGGTAGCACGGAGGGAGGAGGGTGTCTCAATAAATTTAGTCTTTTTCGACAAAAAATAGATTTCATTTATTTTCTAAAGCATTAAAACACATGAAAGTTAAAATTTTAATTCTTCTAAATTAAGATTTATTTTACTATTAATTATTAAAATTTGGACTTTTCGAAGAATAATGACTTACGTACATATTGAAGTACAAAAGTAATTTAAAGGTTTCACATTATCTTCTTTTCAAATTTCAATATTTTTATTACTATGAATATTTAAAATAATTTGATTCTTTTAAAACAATTACTTCTAGAAAATCTAACAAAAATAAAATACAATGGCATACTTTTCAGCTCACAAGTGCTCCAATTACTTTTAGACATGAAATATATGTATGTTTTACAATTCCTTAAATAACTTCTCCTATTGTGGCATTGAAAACTTTATTTATTTCAAAATACAAAGATTAAAAATATGTTTTTAACGTATTGAAAAAACACAAAGATATTGAACTATATGCTAAGTCAAAAAAAAGAAAAAATTCACATTTTATACAAAGCGCACTGCTTGAGGAACACTCATTAAAAGCATGACAGCATATGCACAACCAGTGCTGAAAATTTAAGAATGGGATGGTATTACTCCACTAGAAGATTAGGACACGCGCCATAATACATCAACAGGATGCATAATTGTGCACCAATCGTTTCTCCACGTTTTTACTACAGCCAGAATCTACATCCTGGCGTTCACACATGTGAATACAATTTTCGTGCATGAAGGCGATGACAGTCACTAATCACCGACGATGAATGTATCCAGATAAAAACTGCCACATTGGGATGACTTGCAACTGACAACCATGGCAAAAAACTCAAATAGCTGTAACAAGGAACATCTTAAGGAAGAACTGGCATGCTGCACACAAAGCTGTGACCTACAATTTGCAAAATCCACCGAGAACTAGCCCGCCTTAGAACTACCTAAATGCAAGCCCTCGGATACTGCGGATTCAAGTGAGATCTGTGAGTACCTCAATAAAATTCGTTAAAAACATGCACAAAAGAATTCATACCTACAATCACAACCAACCCGACCCCCATGCAACATACTATGAAGAGAACCAAATAAATCCGTGTAACCACCATTGTCACACCTGCAACAAGGAGCACTATCCACGTTGAAACATCCAATGACTCCAGTCTATCATTCAATACACAACCTACCAGTTTCCCAACACAAACCCGAGGCGACACGACACAAAAATCTGATAGTGTATAGCACATTTTACTGAATTCATCTCGTCGTGCGAACAGCTCGACATATCTTAACTGGAACCAAGCTACTCAAGATCGCGGTTTCTCCTTCTTCTCCTTGAAGAGAGCCAACAAAGACACGCCAGAAACCTTCACCACCTTGAACCTTACTCCGGGAATGTCTCCCACAGCGTGTCCCTTTCGTCCGAATCCAGCAATCAGAACCTCATCCTATACGCAAAATCCACACAACCATTAATCCGACAGCATGAATCATGCTAAACCGTAGCTACTAAAGCCCTATGTGTCCATCAAACCACTAACATGCACCGTACACTTAGCCCGTGCATGCCCATACGCTGATCCTAAAGAATCCTACTTACATTTTCCTCGATGTAGTTCAGGCAGCCATCGTTGGGAACGAAAGCAGCGATCTTCTTTCCGTTCTTGATCAGCTGTACCCTAGCACACTTTCGAATGGCAGAGTTGGGCTGTTTGGCTTCAATACCACTGCAAAACATCACATTCAATCCGTCACCAGTTCCAATCCTCCCCTATAGCATTTGAACAATTCACAGCAGCAAAACACCACATCCTGCAACCAACAGTGATACGCCCGAGCATCTTGCCCCACGCAATCATCCACTTGAGGTTGTGAACTCAAGTTAAGTACTGCAACACGTACATCTTCTCAAGAACAATTCCCTTCGCGTGGGAGGAGCCCGCAAATGGCTTCTTCCACTCGTTACCCAAGTGACTCTTCTTGTAAGACTTATCAGCCCAAAGCTGGGCTCTGCGGTGGTTCTTGAGCTTTCGCCCGGCTCCCATACCACGCGTCTTACTGCAATATCAATCGCGATTTCGTCAGCCCCCGAAACAACTAAACAAGTACGACAGTCACATGATTAACATTCACACTTCACCATCATGAGGTTCGACATACAGCTGTGACTGTTCCACCACCACCTCCGTCTCCCTCAAGCACCACACTCAGACTCATTACGCCCACGCTTAATCACCTTCTTCACCTCTTATCGTAAAATCAAATCTACAAGAGCAAGCATGCTACAGACCGCGGAGTACAGTGCACATGATGATCAAGACAGCTGCACATGAGTCCACTCAAACTACTCGTGAGTTTCAGATGCTATGTCGAAAGTAATTCGGCTCGCACCCAGGGCACACTCGCACGCCCAAAATACCAGCAACTCCGAATGTCCCATCCGAAGGACCATCCAGCAAATCTCGTCGAACCGTGACCAACCAGCAAGAACCAACTATACACCACTTGGTCTAAATTCCTCAAATGTTCGAAGAAAATCCAATCCCAGCCATAAGTGCAGCCATCAATTACCATCAAGAAATGCAGCTACGGACTCCCTTCGAAACCCTAAATCCTGACCTCAACCACTCAATCGATCACTATATTCAACGGTGAGCCATTCAAAAAAAAACGCTGCAACCTGAGAGCACGATCCAGAGGAGGCGTCGCGGAACTCGGGTGCTTACCCCATGGCGGCGGACGGTGAAGAGCAGGGTCCCAAAGGGCGATGGCGATGCGCCTAAGGCACCTCGGAGTCGAACGAAGGCGAGAAGAAGGAATGCTGGAGAGTCCTAGTGGGGTTTAGGGCACAGGTTCCCGTGTTCGCAACGCTGTCCGCGCGTTCTCATTCCCGTTCCATATGACGCTCCCTTCTGTTCCCAATGCAAGGTCACACATCAAAACGTGCATGGGGAACATCAAATTGGCACACAAATGGGCTACACCACAATTTAGGACAATACCTACTTTGAGATGTCCCCCTTTTATTAGAGGTTTGGTAGACAGTGGTGATTATATTACATCAAAACGAATTGTGTGTTGCATGCTGTTGTTTTGTTCATTGCATGTCATTGAGTACATACCATTCAAATGCATTCTTATTAATACATGGGTTTTTGTGTGTGTGGGTATAGACAGATAGATAGATAGATAGATAGATCTATATATATATATATATATACATACAATTATAAAAGTAGATATATATATATATTTGTGTGTGTACATATACCTAACTATATGAAAAGGGGTTTAGTCATGACTTGAAAATAGGAAATTCATGGGTTGCATGATGATGACCATATATTAGAATTTTCATATATGAGAGAACATATACTTTGCTTCAAGAAAATCGGGTATTACCTGATCTTATGATAAGACAAAATACTTGATAAGTTTATGTTGATAAACTCAATATTTTATTGTTGTAACTAGACTCTTTTTAAATCTTAATTGTTTCAAAATTAATCCTTTGGAATATATTATATCAGAACTACATAAATTTTTTGTGTATTAGAAATTAGGCTTGTATATTAACAATGTGCAATTTTATCCACAAGAACTTGCTTTCTTTACAAGTTTTTTTTTTGATGTCTGGTCTTTAATCCATTCATATGTTTTTATTTACCAGTACTTTTTATAAACAGTTTTAACTTTTACATACTAGAATGTCTCAAAATAATCCTGAAAATGAAAATATTAATTCTGAACATTAAATATCATATATCTTGAAAATACAATAAATATATGTAACACAAATTTTATTAAATCAAATACTTAAATGTTACTATTGTTGCTAATATTACTATTGTTATTAATGCTGAATCCATACGAAAAATCTATTATGTTGGATTAAAAATTATAAATTATAAATCATGGTTTTTTAACCTTATTATGTTTTAACTATTAAATAAACATGATCAAACATTAGCTTGTTTTAAACCATTTTTATGTAAGTAATATGCACTTTAACTACAAAATCAAATTGTTGAGTACTTCTTAAATGATTTATGCAAACCATCATATTTTTATATTGTCCTGTAAAGTAAAAAAATTGCATTTTGAATAAAATCTACTTGAATATAAAATACTCATTGTATTTAATTACATAATGATTTGTGAGGCTATGTCAACTATTGGTAGGTAAAAAGGAGTCGACTTCATTCTAGTACTTTCTTAAATATTAACATGGTCACCAATATTCCACTAGAAAAAGTTGCCAATATTTGACTTCTTTCTTTAAGAATGTCTGTCACTAAATTGTTACAGTTTAGATATTAGTGTTTGTCCAAAAAATACTCATAATGTACATAATACCTCTTTTATTTATTTTTTTATTAAAAAATAATTTAACAAGTTATCCTAACTTTGGATTAATGTACAACCAATATACATTCTAAACAAATTTTGGCTTGAATTTCATAGAATATGTCTACATTTTTTAATAAAATTTTGGCTTGAATTTTTTTTCTTCAAGGACACAATTTATTTTAAAAGAAAAGTATTAAAAAATTTCAATTACATATATCTATTTTTTACTATAACACACAATCAAATACCATAAATGAGCTTATATCTTCACTTATTTGTTTACCATTTTTTTTTTTTTTTTAAAGAAGAAAAAAAAAAATATCCCCAATACAATACAAGCCTCTCTCTCATGTCAACACAAGATTTTTCATGTTCCACAAATGCAACAATGAGTTTGGAGGAGGAGGGTTCTCATCAAAATGTGAAATATGGAAAGTTTTTTCCACCAACCCAATAGTCTTATTGGAGACCCCACCCCCACCCTCCAATTGACGAAAATCAGGCCCTAATGCCACTTTCCCAACACTCGAAGCACAACGACAAGAACGACGACATGCAGAAAAGGAGGACATGCAAGAAAGACGGAGGACATTCAGGGAAGATGAGGAAGGGGAAGAGGGAATGGAGTTGCGGTTGCGTTGCGTTGCGGGGGAGACACTGCAGGTTGTTGGGGGGGGTGGGGGGGGGGGGGGATGCGTGATTGGTGGTGGTGGTGATGGTGGTGCCGAAGCTTGCTTACTTTCTTGCTTACTTTCTTGGCCATTGCATGCAGATACATAGATACGTAGATAGATAGCTAGATAGATAGATAGAGAATTGACTCCCACCCCCCTGCCTGGACTGTGATCGACTTTCCTTGACGGAGGAGGTATTATGCATTGAGTGGGAGAGAGGGAGAGATTACGGTGCCCACTGCTCTGCCCTGCCCTGTCCTCCCGTGCCGTGTTGTGCCGCGTCGTGCACAGGAGAAGAAGCAGCTTCTGGGGATTCGTGTGGTTGTGCGGTTGGATGGTGGTATAGGGGAGATGTGGGTGCTGGTGATGGGTTGTGACGACAGCGTGTGTGAGACTGAGGTGTGTGGTGACGATGCTTGAGCGAGAGGAGAGATGAAGCAGGAGGAGGAGGAGGAGGTTAAGGAGCGATGGTGAGCAGGGGATGGCGAAGTTTTGTAGCAAATTGAGATTGGCTGCTGCTTGGAGCTGCGGCGGGTGTCAGTTGTGGGCTATTCTGCTGCTGCAGATTTTCGTTTTGTCGTTTGTTGTAGGACCTTACCTGGCAACCACAGATGGGTTTAATGGCTTGTGGGGTGGCGCGAACAATTTGCCGGGTGTGGGTGCTGTAGGGTTGTCCCCTGTTGTTGACGTCGATGCCCTTCGATTGCGAGGCGTGAACCTCCCTGCACCGAACGAATTGTCCAAGCTGTTGCTGGCCTGCAACAGTTTGCCCCCTCGCAACCTCGATTTGTTTCCCTCCCTGCGGGACGATCGCATCCTCATCGTCTTATATGTGCATTTTAGGCCTGAGTATTTGAAGCTTGCGGTGTCTGCGCTGTCTGTTGTTAACGGAATCAACGAGACCCTTTTGATTGTCAGCCATGATGGATTCTACGAGGAAATGAACGCTGTCGTGGAGTCCATACGCTTCTGTCAGGTTCGCTCCTTCATACCCCCCCCCCCCCTTTTCTTTTTTTCTTTTTTTTCCCCCTTTACTTGCTGAACTGTTCCATAGTTGTAGTTGAAAGGTACAATTACAGTGTTTCATGGACATCGGCATTCACTTTCTTGCGTAATCTGTACATAATTTTTTTATTATCATGTGATCAATTTGGAAGCGATAGTTAGATAGTAATCTTTGCACGACGATTTGTCTTCTGCCATTCTATATTAGGGTTATACCGGAATAGATCGATGTTAGCATGAGTTACCGGAATTAATTTGGAGTGGTAAATAATTGCGATGACGTTCTCACAAACATGAATCCTGCTAGTATTAAGTAAGTTCTTACATTGTTTGGGGCTAGCAAATGAAATTAGAAGGCATTTTTGTTTCTGTTGGTGACTCCAGGTTAAACAGATTTTCGCTCCATGGTCCCCCCACTTGTACACGGATCAGTTTCCGGGGACCTCGCCAGGGGATTGCAAGGACAAGGATGATGCGGAGACCCTGGGCTGCAGAGGGAACCCTGACCAATATGGCAATCATCGTAGTGTTCGAATTGTGTCGCTGAAGCACCACTGGTGGTGGATGATGAACACCGTGTGGGACGGCTTGGAAGAAACGAGAGGTTTCAATGGCCACGCCATGTTTATCGAGGAGGATCACTATCTGTTGCCTAATGCATACCGTAACATTCAAATACTCGCGGAGCTTAAACAGAAGAAGTGTCCATATTGCATTGCTGCGAACGCTGCGCCGGTGGACGTCAGGTCGCGAGGTGAGAGATTCAACCAACTGGTGGCGGAGAAGATAGGGAATGTAGGCTATACTTTCAATCGGACGGTATGGAAGCGAATACACACTCAGGCAGAGCGATTTTGCAAATTCGATGACTATAACTGGGACATCACGATGTGGACCATGATCTATCCAACCTTCGGTGATGCTTTGTATACGTTGCGTGGACCTCGCACCAGCGCAGTTCATTTCGGAAAATGTGGACTTCACCAGGGATATAGCAAATCGAAGTCATCTCAATGCCGAGATTCAGCGATGCATCTTGGATCAATTGAGGAAGCCGACAAAGTGCCGAACATTGACTTAGAGTGGTCTGTGCGCAAGTATCCTATCAGAGGGTACGCTTCTGGCTTCCAAGGGTGGGGGGGGTGGGCCGATAAGAGGGACCAGAACCTTTGCCTATCTTTTTCCTCCATGTACAGCACTTCACCGTAATTAGACACTAGGGAAGTATTTGAAGCAGCAACTGGGCGTGTACTGGTGGGCACATTCAAGCCCGCTTGCTAAGTCTTTGTTCATGATCCTACCAGGTTGAGATCACTGGCATGTCACATATTAAATCCTTCCGGGGTTTTGAGGGAGTTTCAGAGAATTGATCAAATTTTTGAGAGTTTAACTTGTGTGTGAATATTGGTGTTATCTTTTGCTTAACAAGGTTAGCTTAGGTTATGAGAAATAATGGACAGCATGAAAGTCTCTCAACTGTGTTTAGCGCGGTTGAAAGACAAATCAGCCTCCAGCTGGTGTACAATTATAAAGGTGTAAGTAGGTCATGTGTAGACAGTTGATTCTGCGAAATTCAATATCAACTGTTTCAGATGCTTGATTTCTGAACGCAATGGCATCATTATGACCATTCATGTTGGTGGCTTGTCCGCAATTCCCTCTCAACTGATCGTCTGCTCAGGGCATATTTAAGAGATTTTCTATTAGTCAAGCACTTTGAATTCATTGGAGACCTGTACATGCTGTGGGTTCGTAGTATATTTCGGTTTCTCAGGAGGGGAATACCGCATGTAGTCGTCCTCGGTCTCTTGAAGGGCATGAGTCCAACAAGTGGACATATGCGGCCCCTGCACAGAACTTGTATTTGCATATTTTGCATTACAGCAGGCTTGGGAGGCGGAAATAGTTTGTTAGTAATGAGCCTGAGTATGCTCAGAATAAATTAGCGTCGGATTTTTTTTGATGTGGTCGGATGTATCATTCTTAAATTTAGTTGAAGAACTTACCCTCTGTTTGCATGTTCGCAATACTAATGGCTAGGAAAGTTGTGTATTGAAGTTCTGAAATGTTCATGGCTTGTGTTTGTTGTCATTCCTACCTGATATGATTCTTCCGTCTAACATATATGACAAGGCGTGTGGGTGACAGGTCCATAACTCAACGATATTTTGGGGAAAGACACATCCATCTGCAAGGTGAAGTTAGGGGATTTTCTGGTCACGGGATTTAATGACTTCCGAGATCATGAGCATTGCCTTGCTGTTGCCACCATGTATCTATCGAAATTTTAATACATCTAGCTTACGAAAGCATAGAGTTTTCTCCAAGCAGTTGGTGAAATAACATGTACTGTGAGCATTCTTTCACAGTACCATTCTATCAATTATCACCATAGGGACTGCCCTCGCAGTATGTGCAGCAAATCCATCAATTTTACTTCTCTCCTTACTCATGAATACTGTTCACAGTGTATTGAGAAAGCAATGAGCACTTGGATCAATTTTCGAAGATTTCCAGGAAGTATTTGCGGCTGAGAGGAAAATTCTCCCTTCTGTACAGAGGTGCGATCTTTCCTTCATCACATTAAGCAGATAGCTATCGCTGCAAATCATTGGTTGCAGATATGGATTCTCCTCAACAGGACACACGTCTAACGACGAATTGAACGCCAACATAGTTAATTCTGCCGAAAGAAAACAATGTGCAGAACGGATTCTGCAAGTTACCACTGATTGAAACCAGACTGGTTTGCTACTGTACAGAGACTTGCAGGTTGAATGCTGCACTTCAAAATCATTTCAGTATAATGGTGGCAAAATATCTCTAGTGTTCAGAAGATTGCTTGAAGTAATCTTACACTTCTGAGTATCAAGTTTAGCCTCCAAACTAGAATCTCGTATCCTCCAAGTCGCTAAAGAACATAAAAATGACTCTCAAAGACATGCTCATCCATTTTGAACTGGATTTCACAGCCAAGCAACATCGAAGAAAAATTCAAGGTATGACATTTCAACAGCATGCCTTAAGATGCTTTTTTAAGCATGCCTTTCTATCAGACCCTTAAGATGCTCTACCACCAAATTTGGAAACACCTTTAATATATAATGTCAGAAGTGTACAGGATGTGTGTTTTTCCTACCTACAGCAATCAGCATCCCAAATTTCCATTCGTTTGCAGAGAAATTAGAATCAAGTTGTTAAAATACAGGAATGACACTCTGGTACCACCTTCTGAGCCTACATGGGTCCAGCAGAAAAATGTAGGGTGGTAATTTTCTAATCGAGCACTGTGGATGTTCTTCGATGCTGAAAGTATGCGTCCCTCTATTTAATTTTCCAAAATTATTCTTGAGTTAAAAAAACTAAAACTTTACGTTCGGTAAGAAGTTTGCCCGTTATTTACAGGAAATCATGTTTTTTCCAAAAAACTCTTAGAAACCACTAGCTTAGTCACAATAAACTTCATCCAAGTTTACAACTATATAAAAGACACATGAAGAGTTAAGCCACACTCCATAAAATAGTGCACTTTCATAATTTCCCAAAGGTTGGATGTAATCAAACCTTTGCTTTAGCAATGTCAAGTATCTAAAGGCGGATGTCCTCTAAACTTGCAACAATCCAATGAAAAGCCTCTCAACTTGCATTCATATTTGTATCCTCTAAAGTTGCCTTTTACATTGGTTACAAATGACACCAATAATAGTGTAAACTAAAACATTGAGCATTGCAAAATGGCAACTAAATGAAAATAGCATTGCAACATATTTACATGCAATGTGTCTTCTTTATATGGCATGGTTTGTTTAGGTGTCAATTGCACTAAAAGACAACTAAGATCATAACAACAATGCGTGTTGGTGTGTAAAAGTGGTTGTTGAATGAATGGACATAGTTGGAAATAGTTGCAATATCAAAAGACGAGTTATGGAATTTAAAGCTTGAATGCAGATAAATGTAAGGAGAGAGTGTCCTAGTAGTTTTCTTGTTTTAATCTAATTGATAATTTAAGGTTAATTGTTACAAACTTCAATTTTTAAGATTTAAAAAAAAAAAAACAGTAAGAAAGTAACATTTTATTGTAATAATTACAAGACATGTATTTTATAAATATTTTTTACTATGTATATATATATATATATAAATACATGATTTGTATTCATTTAAGATTTAAAATCCATTCTAAATTATTGATTTATCTAACAACAAATTTTGATATGTCATTTTAAACTCATATTTTGATGTTAATCAAAATATCAAAATTTGTACAAAATCAACTTCTAAAAATTTATAAAAATATATTATTAAATTAAAATAAAAATATATAGCTTTTTTAAAAAATAATATTTAGAAATTTTAAACATATTTTATATAACATATATATATATATATATATATATATATATATATATAATATTTAAAATAAAACTTACTAAATTATGATAAAAAATAACCAAATATAATAAAAATTGATATCAAATCTCAATTATTTTTTTATCAATGTATATCTAAAATTATTGAAAATTATAATAGTGCATGTTTAAGTCATAATTTGTGTTAATTTGTGTTAAAAATATTATGTTTAGTAACAGAGTAAAATAATTCATATTAAAGCCTTGTCTAAAATATACTTATTTTATATCAAAAGGAAAAAAAACTATTAATATAATTAGTAATAGTTTTTTATATAAATAGAACAAATACATAGTTAAGCAATAAAATCAAATTTTCTACTTGAAAGTATTTTTTTCAATGAATTCTATTTAAATTAGTCATTAAATCTTCTTTTTCTTGATGATAAAAGTAGTATTCTTATTTATTCTAGTAAATTTCGTTTTTTTTTAAAAAATATTTTATTATAAATAATTTTTTCATATTCTATAAGATCAATCACAATTATATGTATTATTAGCATGACATGACTTTGTGAAAAAATAAAGAGGAAGTATATTACTAAGATAGAAGTTTTATGAAGCAAATACAAAAGAATTCTCTATCATACTATCAAGGATTCAAGAAAAAAAATGCTTAAAATGAACCCCTACTTCTACTCTTTATATAGCATAAGTCCATAGTCTAACCACATGGACTTTTTAGTGTGAATACACAAACAATTAGTCTAGTCAACAATGTCCAATTAACATGTGGACACTTTTCTTATTAGGCTGTATGAGTTTGATCTTTGGTCAAAACATTTGCAATAATGTCTTGAGTCTCGCAAAAAATTAACTTGATGTTGTGACTCTCAATCTTCTCACAAACAAAGTGATGCTAAATTTCAATATGTTTAGTACAAGCGTGGAATGTAGGATTCTTTGAAAGAAAAATGTAACTTTGATTATCACTAAAAATAGTCAAAAGACCATTTTATGAAAACTCAATATCTTTAAAAAATCTTTGAAGCCGAATTTTCTCTTTTGTAGCATGCGTAGTTGTCATATACTCTGCTTCGGTTTTAGATAAGGGGACTATTGGTTGCTTCTTGGTATTCCAACTAATTATACTACCAACCAATAAGAATATATAACTAGTGGTTTAATGTTGTGTATCAATATTTCTTATATAGTTTGCATCACAATAATCAACCACTTGCAAACTTGAAGAGCTTCCACCATATTATAGTACATGATCTGATGTGCCTTGAAGATATCGCAAAATGTGTTTTATTGCTATTCAATGTTGTGGGCCAAAATTTGCCATGTATTGGCTAACAACTCCCACTAGATATGAAATATTAGCATAAGTGCCTATCATTGCATAGACTAAATTGTCCACTATATTTTGGTATGGAATTTCCTTCATTGCTTCAACCTCATGAGGAATTTGTAGACTTATGTCTCTTGATAATTTATTGTTAGAATCTAAAGGTGTAGCAAAAGGTTTACAATCTTTTATGCCAAACCTTTAAAGACATTTTTTACATACTTTTGATAATTGAAGTAGATTTTATAAATCTTTCAGTTCCTCATAATGTACACATTCAAAATATAGTGGATTTCTTCTAAATCCTTCATTTCAAACCTCTCAGCTGTTAGGGACATAGTCCTTAGACCTTTCTAGAGACAAGTTTCTAGAACCTTCTAGAAAGAAGTCTCTAGAAACTTCTAGAAGATTCCTTGAATATTCTCTTGGAATATTCTTCAAAGATTTCCTAAAGATTCTCTTAGAATGCTCTAGAAGATTCTTAGAATATTCTAGTAGATTCTAGGAAGTTACTTGAGAAGCTTCTTAGCTCTTGGGTAGTTTCTCGAGAAGCTTCATAGTTCTTGGGAAGCTTCTTGATGCGCTTCCTTAGAACCATAGGCCAGTAGTATATGTAGGAGTCGAGGCTGAAGAGTTCTTCAGTCTCGACAACGCATCTCTTGAAGCTCTAGCTCAATTCTCTTGGCATTGCTCTTGTACTCATCTGATAATCTAGTTCTTGTCATTTCTTCTTGAAATTCTTGTTTAGATTTCTTGTTTGTAATTTTGGTCCGTGACAGTTTGTCGAGACTACCTTTATCTTAATATCAGAGCTGAATCATTCTTGTTTGAGAGCGGATTACCCCTCTTTTTGAAGGTATTCTAGCGCTTTAGGGGTTACGGATTAGCTTTCTCTAAACTGATATTTTCTCAATCACAATATCAGAGCTTAGTTCTTTGAGGCAGAGAGTGGACTACCCCTTTCCTTGGAGATACTTGAGCGTTCTAAGGGTT